ATGTATTTGCCGTTACTTGTGAAGATTCTCCAGCCACACCGTCCACGAATAGTAGAACAGTAAAGATGTACGTCGTCCCTTGTAATAATCCATTCACTGTGTAATCATTGCTTGTTGTTATCTCTGATGAGGTACCATCAACTTTAGCAGGACTTGTAAAGACATAATATGAAAGTGTTCCTGTTGTGGTCGGTAGATCCCAAGTTAGTCGTATTGAAGTGGTGGTTATATCAGATGCAACAAGGTTATGTACACTTTCTCCATATACCTGTGAAAATAACAATATATGCAATATATTGTACAATGTGTATATTCCAGTATATAGATTCATTCTACTGAGTTTGAATGAAATCAAGCAAGCCATCTCAGAAAAACGGTTGTTAAATTGATATGCATCAACTTTAGGATTTTAGGCAAAATGTCCATCAATTCAAGAAATGATATCACATCGTACAAAATCACAGAACTATTGGTATAACCTACAAGTATAGATATACAAAGGAAGAATCTGCATGGACATGAACAAAAACTGAAAGGCTGCCAGTTGGTTATTTTTGTTTGAATCTCAAAATAATATGATATGCACCTATAACTCAATATGCATGATCGTGACAAAGTTGGAATGAAATCACCCTGTTCATCTCTGAGTAATGGTTCCAGACACATTTAATTTTCCAGTTTGATAACCTAAATGGCCACCAGTCAGCCATACTTGCTCAAATGATAATGAAAATTGATGTGTACCGGTACATGCAAATGACAGGGATCTCGCTACACTGGTTGTGGTGGTCGGCCACAACCTGCATTCAAAATTAGTGACTACCACGGAAATGCTTCCGACCAGGACCATTGTCTGATTTTTATTATAATTATGTACCGACCGTGGATTATAATTTTTAAACAATAGACCTAGTCGCACGATATGTAGCGGCTTTGCTTGAAAGTAAATACTTTCTGCGATAGACAGTCTTCAGATTGAAAGTTTCAAAATCAATTTCATCTCGATATAACATAAATTATCAAAGCAGAGTTCACGATCAGTTACGCTACTCAAGAAAAAAAAAAAACAGATTTATTGCGTGGTTTGGTAAAATACATTTGAACTGTTATCATCACGAATCATGTAAAAACACTTCCTTCAAGACCTATTTTACATTTTCAAAAATTGCTAATCACCTCTTTCGAGAACCATCATGCAGTTTTCAACTGAAATCAATGCCATAACACATCGTGCTACGACATCGCTTTACTTCCACAATGTAATTTTTATGATCACTACTATTCGGAAAACTTCAGATTCTACTGGCATTACCATGCGACATTATGATTGGTTAATAGCATTCTTGACCCATTGGGTCAAAAGACACAATCCATTCAACTGATACAAATGTACGTCACAACATCATATTTCCAGGAATATTGAAGAATATACCGATAAGAAAAAAAATGCACACAAATTTGGCCGAGAAAGTTGGTGGTGAAAACGCTAATTACCAGTCTGTATACTAAACCATTTTGTAACTATAAATATAAAGCTTTTATTAATTTTAATTTTGTAAACAAAAGCAGTATTAATCTGCAGGCGAAGGATGCAACCCAAACTGCAGTGACCTCTTAGCTGAGTCATGCTGTAAGAACCTTTATGCCGGTACACGTACATGTAACTTATCAGTAGACGTTAGATGAAAATAGTATTATGATTCTTTTGTCACTTCAATGTTTTCAACCATATCAAAGATTTATTTCTGTTAAACAAGGTGCTAGGAATCAAATAAACTTTAATATTGAACAAACTTAGTTTTCATTCATAAATGTTGCTGTGACAGTACGTACATACCAAGCTTATAGTACTTTTTATTTGCCTGCATTTCCCTCACATGTATGCTTTATCATTATAAATCCTAATTAAACCATCATCCTTTTCATCATCGATTATGAGTAGGACAAAGTGATACATGGAATGTACTAAGGTGACTGTTATTGATGGAATTGATCCAATGACCTGCTCTGATCATTGTACACATCTTGTTGTTAATGGAGGATATCCATTATCATAACACAATACAATGTACCATTATACAAAGTATGCAGTTAACCTTTTTACCACCAGTTCCCTCTTTTCATCACAAAATAGTTCAATTTATAGTCTGTACTTTCGAGTAAAAACTGAAAATTCGCTCAAATTTTGTCTGTTAATTGTCTTTAAAATTAGAGTTCATTTCCAGAAATATTGAAGATTATGAAAAAAAAGTACAGAAAAATTTGGGTGTCAAAGTCTGGTGGTGAAAAAGGTTAAGAATTAGAATGATGTTTTCACAGCTAGTCTTTATATTATATTTTTGTAAAAATGTGGTGTAATAATTTTAAATAAAGTTAAATTTTCAATATGGCAAATTTGTACGTCAACTTTTTCCATAATGATTCATGCTATGATCTTGATTCAGAAATCATTTTAATTTTTTTTTTTTTTAAATCTCTTGATCAAGTGAATACATGTCCCATTGTCAGTGCATTTTATCCAAACACTTTCATCTATTTCTGATACTTTGATAAAAAAAATAGGAATATCTTGGGAAAAATTGAGAAAATTAAACTCTGTATATATCATACACGTACATGTACCTAATACATTAATTTGCATAAAATTTTCAGTTTGTTAATGGATATTGAGTCTTGAAATTAAGAACACACAATACTGTGGATATGAAAATTATTAATTTCCAAAAGAATTTAATTTCAATGTACAGGTGTATGATCATATTCATTGGGTTATTTTATTTACTTCAATTTCATGAGAAATACATCATGGAGTTTGTGATTTTTTTCTTTTCAGAAAATATTTTAAAACTATGTAGTAATAAAAGCTTCACCATTAAAAATATATTGTTACATTTTCTTGTTCATTTTATATTTAATTACAAATTTTGTTTACATTTAAAAGTATAATTATTTGTAAAGATTAATTTCTTTTAAAATCTAAAATGGTTTGTTAATTAGAGAAAATTAATGTTGAAAACATAAAAAGCAACATTTTCTTTATTAAATGTGCTGTTATTGTCAGTGTTTATTTTATTAGTTTTCAATGATGTGTAACAGCTATGCCATTGTGAAGCTGTCAGACATAGAGCAGTCCTCATTGGCATTTTATTGATATGCTTTTTGTCAAAATCATATCCGCTTATTGCAAGATGGCGTGTATTCACAATGTATTTATTAATCATATGAATGGGAAAAATGTATTGGTATGTATTACAGTATTAATGTCGTTAGATTGATAAGATAGTGAAGAGAAAAGAATTTCAAATAACATGTTTATTATTATGACTACTGTTCTACAGGTACAAGTTCATTCTATTGAACATTTTTCTTGTGTGCAACCTGTCCCTCACCCCCATCCACACCCACCACCCTCGACCGCACCCGGATTGTGAATATAATATACTGTATTTACTCTATTAGAAGTGCGATCATAATATTGTAAATGCAATAATATTTTTATTTTTTTTTATTTTTATTATATGTTTTTGTGCCAGGCGACAGTTCCGGACATTGAGTGTCACTGTTGTCTCTCCTGACTTTTTTTCTGTATGTGCAAATTGCAAGTGCTTGTGACTACACATAGTTTTTAATTATGCTATTTTCATTGGTAAGTACAATTTGCTAATTTAAAATTAAATCCACATGAAACATGTAAAATAATAGTTGAATTCATTGTTTCTCTGCTAAGTTGAAATTGCTCAAAACATCAAAATAGTAAAATTTAATGTCATTGAAAATAGTTTTACAGTGACAGCTCATGGCAACCAACTCTACAAGAAAATGATATCAGGTGGTAACCTCGTAATACTGTAATCAAGGTATGTATTTTTAGTTGCATAGTGTGTAGATACATACAACACTTCACATCTAAATCTAATCAACATCCAGTTACTGTGCAGGAAGACTGGCTTAGAAACATAATATGAGGTTATTACAAGGATACCGCTAAGTATGCATGAAGATAGTACAGCGAGAGTATCGGCCGACACGCAGCGGAGGTCGATGTGACAGCGTACTATCTGAGTGCATATTTTGAGGTATTCCCGTAATAACCTTATTATTATAACATCTTTTCCTTCAAAGGATACACCATGGGAATGCCGAAATCATAATGTTTAGAGCAGAATCATCGATTTCTTTGTATGGAGTCCGGTTAAACCTTGGTGGCAGCCATGTTTGTTTTTTTATTATTAGAGGACGCTTACGTGTGCAATCATTCCATATTTGGAATTTGCATTTCCTTGTATAGGATGAAAATACCCCGTAAAATACTGCAAAATTATGGCACGCTGTAACTTATGGCGTTACGGTTACAGATGTACAATAATAGTATATAATGCCATTGGCTTAGTTTAATCTCTGTGATTTGCTGACAAGTTCTACCTGAACTGAAAAAGGAGCTTAGCATACATAGTGTACCAAAGAACTGATTTACGACACAGTGCCTGAGCCTTGCTTATTTATATTCCAATCACATTAGGGTGTGGTTAGATGAGTAATTTTATTTTCTGTTAACAAAACAATTCCAGTGTAAATCTTACCTACATCTTCATGTATGTTTTTAGTAGCAATCACACTTTTAAATAAATGACAGGAGCTTTGTTAAATATTTTTTTTTTTTTTTAAATTGATGAAAATCAATCATGTGGTTCCAATTACTTTGTATTTCCCTGATATGCAGTTGGCTGGCCACATTTCTGTTTACCGTATTATTGAAATGTGATACAGATATGCGCTAGGTGTGAGATGTAACAAATTGGCAAATGCTGCTTTGTCCGTTTGTGATCAATGGTTGATGCAAAAATGTTAATAGCGTATACATTCCTGATTAGAAGCTGCATCCCTAATAAAAAATGCACACATCCTTCTGAACAATGTGTAGATGCTCTAATAGAAGCAGCATCCTTTCCGTTACGTTGTTCTAATTTAATAGAAGCCGCAACATTCTACAGTATACTATTAATAGCACATGTCAAATTAAGCCATATTTTAATAATCTAGCATACAATAAATGCAACTTTTGGCGTGAATGCAATTCTGAAGTATTTTACAGAAGGCAAAAAATAATAATGCATGTACAGATAGGCAGATTTTAGCTTGGACAGGTGATTGAACAAAATGCCTGTCCCAGTAAACAGACGAAACAAGTTTTACTAACTGCCTAAATGGGGTACTGTAGAATACTTTATTTTCGCTTGGAATTAATTTTCACTATTTACGCTAATGATT